ATGACCCGATTTAAATGGGCTATAGTACAGGGTATTTTTCAGAATTTTGGTGTTTTCTTAAAATGGCCGTAACTTGAAAAATTGAAGTCGGAATAAGTTCAAACTTTCTACACAGCATAAGGACATCAATATTTATCAGAAAATGTAATTAAAAACTGGGGTGATTTCGGAGCCATTTTTTGGAAAAACCATGGGCTATAACAGGGTATTTTTCAGAATTTTGGTGTTTTCTTAAAATGGCCGTAACTTGAAAAATTGAAGTCGGAATAAGTTCAAACTTTCTACACAGCATAAGGACATCAATATTAATGTAATAAAAAATTGGGGTGATTTCGGAGCCATTTTTGGAAAAAAACCATGGGCTATAGACTATAGTACAGGGTATTTTTCAGAATTTTGGCGTTTTCTTGAAATGGCCGTAACTTAATAATTTTAAGTCGGAATCAGCTCAAACTTTCTATGTAGCATAAGGACATCAATATGTATCAGAAAATGTAATAAAAAATTGGGGTGATTTCAGAGCCATTTTTTGGAAAAAACCATGGGCTATATAAGTATAGGAATTTTTCTCAGATTTTAGCTCATTTTAAAAATGATCATAACTCAAAAATTTTTTATTGGAATCAACTCAAACTTTCCATGTAGCATAAGAACATCAATGCAAACAAAAAAATATAATAAAAGTTTGGGGTGATTCCGGAGCCATTTTTGAAAAAAAAACATGGGCTATAGCTTTTATTTTTTTCAAAAATTGGCTCGTTTTTTAAATGCTTATAACTTGAAAATTATTTTTTGGTAATAGCTCAAACCCATATTTTTCTTTAAATCACAAAGCCAAACTAAAAACTACAAACAATATGCTGTACATTTTGTTATTGTCAATAAACTGAAGCAAAACAATAAACTGAAAGTAAAGACTCACCGACAAGAGCACGCAGGGCAGGATCATCAGCAAACCCGAGATAATCACCAACAAAATTCCTATTAATACTCAACCTCTTCCTCTCCTTCTTATTCAACAATATATCAGATGCTACAGAGAATTAAGAGTTACAAGTGTGATGCATTGAATATATGAATGTACATGTACATACATGTATAGTACAATGTGTATGCATTTATGTATTGCGTGTATATACATGTACATGTACATGTACATGTATGTATGTGAAAAGTGTAGTACATGTAGTTTATATTCATTGGTGATGTATTGAGCATATGAATGTACATAATACATACATGTTAATGTACATATTATTAAAAAATAGTAAATTGTGTATGTACATGTATATATGCATAAATTGTGTGTATGTGTACATGTACATGTACATGTATGTAAAAAGTGTAGTGTATTTGTTAAAGTGAAGTATCACTCACTTGGAATTCAATCGTTTTGTTGTTTTGTTATAAAGATAAATTTAATTAGCTACAATAATTATGGTACCTTTTGTCAATTACATAATAGCAAGAGTACTCTTGATAATAGTGAATAAAATTATATGAAACTTGGAAATGTTTTGCCATCATTCTTTCCTTATCAACAATAATGACATACATCATATTGTATTCACTCATAATTTTTGTACCAACACTGCAGCTGGCAACATTTCACATGGTATGTTAATGGTTTGATCAATGGCAGCTTACTTTTTGAACAGTAAAACAGTGGCTGGATCTATTCATGAGTACCGTACAAGATGATTTATTGGCGAGGAATCAATATTGGCCATTGGCAGTTCTATGAAGAAACCGCCAATATAAAATCCACCATTTTGTTTCAATCTGAGCATGCTCAATGGCACGTGACACAAAATTGCCAATTTCTTTCCAGAGGCAAATTTGCCAAATATTACTCTCACCAATAAATCATCTTGTACAGTAGTAGCAAGAAAAAAAATTTATGATTAGACCTACATTGATACTAAAACTTTTTAACAAAAAATTTTATAAGTAGACTATTTTCACAACTGTAAAGATCTATAGAATATCTATGGCTTCAGGCCCAGTCAAAAAAACTTTAGAAGAAATGAGGAGATATCATATAATAGATCTACTAAAAAGGTTAACTCCTCAGTCATTTATCGTCATTTATTGTATGTACAGTCCTTTAATATCTATTCGTTCTAATACTCTCTCCTCTCTTTATTTACTTTTCTCTCTGTGTTATTGGGAAGTCAGACAAGTTCCTGACTCTCCCTCACTGAGGACACTATCCCTTTAGTATATTGTATCTGTCTCTCTATCTTGCTTGTCCTGTAAAATATTAATAATAACAATAATAGTAGTAGTAATAATAATAATAAATGAATAGACTGACTGTTAAAAAATTCTAGATCCGCCCCTGCCCTGATTTACTGACTGATATCTAAGCGATTTTGACAAACAGCTGAACAGCGGGCTAACTCAGCCGAGGGGTCCGCAACGAAGAAAAATCTGGTACACTTTCCAAAAAATCAAAAAAATCCAGTAAACGAATCCAATAATCCAATAAAAATCCAATAATCCACAGAAATCCACCAGTAATCCAGAAAATCCTTGCAATAATCCAAAAATCCAATCAGTAATCCAAAAAATCCAAGGAAATCCAGTCACAATATTCAAAGATTTACTGTCTATGATTTATTAACCATTAAAAAATAGTTAAATAACTGCTATTATTAAATAAGTGGTAATTTTTAATAGTTAATTGACGATTATTAATAGTTAACTAACCATTATTAATAGTTAATTAAACTAACTGATGGTTAGTTACCTTTAATAACATGGTGGATACTATTTATTGATGTTATATGATCAAAAAATCCAAGAAAAAAGTCCAAAAAATCCAACAAGAATCCAAAAAAATCCAAAAATCCAGTCAAAATTTGAGTGGATTTTAAATCTGGTACACTTTTGGAGGCCGTTTCGGACCCCTCGAACTCAGCTCAGAGACTGTCTTTTTATCGGACCAGAGACAGACCCGTCGCCTGACTATACAAAGTTAGTGACAACGGGATCATGGATAAGCCATAGTATAGCGTCTCGAACGAGGCATGTGAACGAGGTCTTGACCCTCCCCTATTTTCATGAAATAGATCTATGATCAATAGATGGTTTTCCCATTTCTTGCGCCATACTAAGAATATATTATACACTACTAGTTTATGGCCAAAGTACTATATCCATCTATTATAGATAGATATCTAGGCTAGCACATAATACCTTTATGCATGATAATACGACTCGTAATATGAGCCTATAGCTGGCATCAATCATTTTACCCTGAGAACTAAATCTTTACTAAACACATGTACACAATTTAAGGGAATTTTGTGACTGAGTCGCTTCTTCATCACTTTCATTATAAGATATTGCTATCCTCCTCTGCATTCTTAATGACATTCCTGGAAAGAAAAGAATGCAGAGAGAGTACTGAAGGGATGCACTTATTTTTTAATTATCAAAGAGAGTGGTTTTAGCTACAGGAGCCTGCAATGATGCTCAAAAGTGTGGTTTTATGAGATTTGCAGTATAAATATTGAGGCAAGAGTATCTTAGCTCACCACAACTAAAAAACTTGATAAATATTTTATTGATAAATGGCCAGATCTACACTAATTTTTGTTATTTTATTGATAAATTATCAGAGAAATGAAAGAAACTGTTGGTTGCTAACTGTCTGCATGTATTTTCATTCTGTTTGTCATAGTGCATGCTGGCTGTGTGAAGGATATTTGTGTGGCTCAAATAAGTTCCATTCATCTACATTGAAAGTCCATAGCTCAGTTACAATAACTTACATGTACTTTACAGTTTACACAAATGTTGTACCTACTCCAGTTAATGCAAACATTGTGTAGCTATCTATACTCAAAGTGATGTTTATGAATAGTAGATATATATAATAGTACAAGTTACACTGAGTTTCATAATTACAATAAAGTACAAACTACTATTTTGCTGTACTGTACATTAATATCCAGGCTTGGCTTTTAATTTTTTGCTAAAATTTATGTATGATTGCACCTGATTACTCTAATTTGTATGCTATATAGTTAAGATTAACTTGAACAATAAGGAAATGTCTGAAAGGACAAGGGTAAGTTCCATGATGTAAACTTAAGTTGTTTTACGCAATTTTTTCACTATTTCCATGGGCAACCTCAGCATTTATCAGTAAGTTATTAAAGCATAACAATTAACGAGAGCTATAATGTTTTGCTTTTATAGGAAGTAAGTGTTGCTATATTCACATTATAATTATTAATTCTACTTTGTCCTTTCTCTGCATTAAATCAGGCATCAGTAAGTTATTTTTCGCATATTAATTATTTTATTTTTGTACAGATAGTAAGTGAAGACTGCAATATAATTATTTGATTTATTTGTACTCTCCTATACTTTTAATGACTGCTATTAGTTTCAAGTAAGGAACTGATTTTCCTGTATAATTTAGTATACTATTATAATAATAGAGAAAGATTAACAATGACAAGAAAAAAGAAACACCTGTACAAGCTATAGCTAAAATGAAACCCAAAAAAGGTAATGACATGTGAATGATAATATTTATGAATGACTTTGAATAGATTATTCTTATGACAAAGAAGTTGCAGAAAAAGAAGTCAATGTTGCCTACTCACGTATTATGCTTCTTGGATCAGCTGGAGTTGGGAAAACATGTTTTACTCGATCGCTCATGAAAGAGAAGTATCAATCTGATACTGATAGTACCATTATTTCTGATGTTAAATCAGTTCGACCAATTGATACACCACCAGCTGAACAACAGGATGATGCCATCACAACAATTAAATCTCCATCAGATAAGCCTTTAAGTAGGACTAAAGAGTTTATCACTCCTGATGACAAAGAGGAGCCTCGTTACAAGTCATCTCATAATCGTTCTGTTCGGTTCAAAAGCCACATGCTTAGTGAAAATAAAAAATGGAAGCAAGTTGATGAAAATGATGAAATTGATGAACTTGCTTACTTAATCACTGCAGTTTATGATAAAGATTCTGGTTCTGAAGATCTTCGTACTGCAGTTGCTGCTTTGCTGTTGTATAAAATTGAGTCACCATTTTGCCCTTCAGATTTTTCTAATCAAAAAATTCACAGAGAAGAAGTTGATTCATTTCTTGAAAAAGCAATAAAACGTGCTCAAATGATTGGGCCCGTGCCAATACAAGATATAAAGCCTCAGCCGTTCATGCACATTTGGGATTGTGGAGGGCAGGCAGTGTTTTTGGAGATTCTTCCTGCTTTCCTCTCATCACGTACAATGTTTTTTCTTTTATTCAATGGAGCTAAGAGTCTCGATGAGAAATGGAAAAATATTCGAAGTAAAAAAGGAAATATGGTGTGCGATGAAGTAGAAAGTATTTCGACTAAAAATCTGCTTTTTAATTGGATGGCAAATATTCATCATCACTTGGCCCGAATAGATGAAAAAGGAGCTTTTCTCAGTTATCCTCGCATTTATTGTATTGGTACACATGGTGACCTCATAAATCATGATGAGCAGATAGCTGCTATAGAAAAGATGAAGAGCACTTACAAAAATAAAGCATTTTCTTACCTGATAAAAAAGGTGCTAATTGTTGATAATACAACTGCTGGCAGCGATAAAGAAGATCCAAATTTTTCAGTTATTCGGGAAGAAGTTAGCGATTTTACCTGCAACAAGCTAATTGTCAAGACACCAGTCAGCTGGGTGCTGTTTCGTAAAGTTATTAAATTGCTTGGTACAAAGGTTATCGGTTTGAAGGAGGCTCATAAAATTGGTTTAGCTTGTAAGATCCCCCACAATGATGTTCCTAAAGTTCTCCTTTTCTATCATGATCTTGGAGTTCTCCTTTACTATCCGTTTATCAAGGGTCTTCAAGATAGAGTTATCATAAGCCCCCAGTGGTTTGTTGATACTCTTGGAGAAGTCTTTACACTTGAAGGCAGAGAAAACCAAGATGCAACAGAAGCTATGTGGAATTTATTACGTGAGAAAGGTATTCTTGTTCAACCTTTGTATCAAGAGGTTTGGAAAGATTGTAAAGAAATTGAGGCTGATGACTTGATGGAGCTATTGGTTCATTTTTGTCTTGCTGCTGAAGTTGAAACAGATCAATTCTTTGCACGTAATGCTAAGCAATATTTTCTACCTGCTGTGCTAAAGTCATATGATACTTCATATCTACAATCATCATGCGATGATGAACCAGTTGCCCGAGCAACTAACATTTATATCACTTTTAGCACCGATTTTGTTCCTCCTGGCTTCTTCACTCGTTTTATTGCATCATTTGCCAAGGTCTCGTCATGCAAAATTTGCTTTGAAGAAGGTGTTTTTCGAAATCGTATTGTTTTTAAGTTTGGAACTCCAAGTGTCAACCAGGTTACTTTCACTGATCTTTGTACTACAATACGAGTTAGTGTTGAGCGTTACAGTGATGCACCAAATATAACACCATTCAGTAATACTTGCCAAGAGTTGAAGAGCTTATTAGAGAAATGTGGCAATGAAGTAGATATTGCCCTAGGAAATCATTCTGATTTTTCAAAAAGCATAGAGATATCAAGAAAACTGAACTATGAGTGCACTGCATGTGATAAATATGAGCTTCACTACATTTCTCCTGCTTCAGGTCAGACGGCTAACTTGCCTTTTTGTTGTCAAAAAAGGAAAAATTATCGACAACCGACTCCTGAAGAATCTTATTGGTTTCCCAAAGAAGAGCAGACAGCTGAAAATGTAAAAATGCAAATATCAAAATGAATTATTATTGACATAATGATTCTTTACAGGTACCTGTCACTATTAGTGAAAAGGAAATGGCAGTAATATCGAAGAGAGTAGGTGACAAAGCTGATACTCTTGCTGCATGCATGGAAATGCTTCTAAAGTTTAAGGCTCTCCAGCAAAATCCAGCTCATAGTAATAATCCAATGCTTCATTTGCTTTATGAGTGGAAGAGTGGGGGTGGATATAGAGAAGACTTGATTGAAGCTCTTAAAAGTGCTGATCTTCATCAGCTAGCTGATCAGTAAGTGTTTGTACAGTTTGACTGTTATAATTATAGTTTATCTATATATTAACAGAGTTAAAGTCTCAGACTACAGACCTGCCAGTGGTGTAAGTTTAACTGTATGAATAAAAAATAGTTTAAAAGATAATTATGGTTTGTCTACGTTTGACTCTCTTAGGCTACTAATAAGAATGTATTGTTATTCTGGCATGAATTAACAATAATTGAATTAATACTTTTACTATTATACAATAGAGACTTTCTGTTGTTAACATTCGCCAACCAACAAATGAACACTGTTCAGATTTTGACCCTTCTCAAAACGTTAAAGACATTGAAGCCAAAAATAGGTTATTTAGGATAGTATCCTTGGTATTTTATTTACTGTACACGTTCTTATTTATTTGATTCTATTTAGTATTTCAAACATTGAAATCACTGAAGCAGGAGTTAAAGCTACACGAGGTTCTGGTCAACTTAATAATTCATATACGTATGAATAGTCTAATTTTGATTGTCCATTATGCCATTTTTGTTTGTATAATAGTGACCAACAGCATCAAGAGCAGCAAAAGTTTTCTGAAGCATTCTGGTACAAAAAAATGTTGCTGAAATTATTCAATTTTCTTATTTTCTTATTAGGGATATAGAAGATGACGACTTGTTGCGTTCATCTAATTTTTTTGATGTTAAAGATATCAAAAAACTTGTCGAAATTTGTGATGATGATTCAGGGTATCTTCAGTCAGTAATGGATAAATACCAACATAGTGATGCACAAACCATTGCAATTCAAGTTCTTCGTGCTTTGGTAAGAAAAAATCCTAGCATTACTAAGAAAGATCTGAAAAAGAAACTCCATTTAATGAAATTTGAAGAAGCTGCTAATAAGTAAGGAATTTTTGCAATATAGTTACTATTACATTAATTTGTAGTCTGTCGGAGCCTTTTGAAGCTACTAAGCCTGCTCCTCAGGCTAGTCAGCCTGCTCAGTCTAACACAAAATGCTTTGTATTATAAAGCACCTTTAGTATGGACTTAAACTTATAATTTTTTACTATTAATGTTTTATGTACTTTTTGGAAAAAATGTAGTCTTTTAAAATAGCACAATCCATATAAAATTAATTTTTAAAAGTATTATTAAAAAATAAAAATAATCATTATTAAAAACATCAGTTAGACTAACAAAAATAGTTATAATAATTTAATAGTTATAAGGTGTAATGGTATCATAGCAATACAATGGTTCATGGTACATGTATAATGACACAAAATAGGACATGGTACATTGGTAATAAGGTGGTAGGATGTAATGGAGGAAGGTGGCCATGGGTACGTTAGTAATAAGATGATACTAGGTATTTGGTGTACATGGTAATGATAAGATGACAATGGTGGTTAAATGTCAAACTTAGTATAAAGGTGTTAAGATTAATGGTGATACAAGTTAAGATATTACACAAGTATTGTATAGGTGATATTGGTAGCCATTGGTGTATGGTGTAATAGTAGAATGGTGATACAATGGTATGTAAGGTGGTGGGATGGTGATAAGGTGGTGATAAGGTGTGATAGGTGTAATGGTAAGATGGTGTTTAAGATATGATATTGTATAGGATTGGTAACATTGGTAACCATTGTGGGTATATGATGTAATGGTGATGATGGTACTAAAGTGGTGTATGTTAGTTAGATAGTGTCAAGGTGGTAGAATAGGTAATGATGATGGGTTAATACGATGGCAAGATGGTAATATTGATTGTGATAAGATATACATAGGATTGGTATAATGATATTGGTAACCATTGTAATGGCGATGATGGTACAGGTACTACAGTGGTGAACAATGGTAAGGGTGGCAAAGTGGTGCAATATATGTAATGATGATACATAATGAGTGCTTAAGATATGTCTTTTTTTTGTGCGTCGGTCTGTTGTTGTTCAAGTTTCTCATGGTAAGTTTCCTTCATTCTTTTTTCTTCCTTCATCATATCAAATATCATATCATCGTTAATCTTTTGAAGATATTTAACTACTGATGAATCAGGATTAACTGATTGAGCTATATCAATATCATGTGGACGAGGTTTTAAACTGAATACGTCAACTAAAAACCGAACAAGCTCTAAATTAGAACTCTTACTAGCAAAATAAAGTAGAGTTTTCTTGTCACGAGTTTCAGCTAGTGCATTACAACCAAGTTCTGTGAGAAATTGTATAACTAATTCTAAGTTACCAGCTTCACATGCTCCATGAACTGAAGTGTATCCATTATTATCAGGATCATCAGGATTATAATGACAACTATTAATGAGATACAGTGCCATCTTAATACGATTGAAGAGACATGCATAATGAAGAGGAGTACGACCATTATCATCACAAGGGATGTAGTTAGAAGCTACTTCATCCTTTATGTACTGATATATTGTAATATTGCCTCTTTCTGCCAATATGTGCATGCAAGTAATGCCATCCTTATCTCTTGCTTTAGGGTCTAGTCCAGAATTGTCAATTACAAGTTGTACTAATTCCATATTCCCACCCTCACATGCTGCATGAAGTATAGTGCGCTTTCTACTATCCAAAGTATTAATACTATCAAGATGAATACTACACAAGTAAAGAAACACATCAATATGGCATTTACTGCAAGCTGCATGAAATACAGTGGATCCTTCATTATCAGTAGCTGTAAGGAGATCATGATGAGTAGAACTACCAGTAACTGAAGACAGTAAAACTTCAGCGATATCTTTTTGACCAGAGGCAACTGCTATGTGTAGTGGTGTCTGTCCTTTCTTGTTAGTAATTAGTAGATTGATATTAGTAGAGCTTGTTAGAAGTGATACCATCTTCTGTTGTCCTCTTATACAAGCAAAGTGTAATGGTGTGCCACCATTTTTATTTTGTGCATTAATAAGTAACCTTGGTTTTATTTCCAATAAATATTCTAATATTTCAAACCGTCCATGTACAACAGCATCATGCAGTGGTGTACAGCCTTGATGATCAGTTGCATTAGGATTACAATAATTATTATCAATGAGATACTTCAATACATTCAAGTGACCCCTCCCTACTGATATGTGAACTGCTCCAGACCCATTATCATCAGTAGCTGATAGATTACACTTCTTACTAATAAGATATTTAATAAATTCTAACTGATTGAAGTACACTGCAGTAAGGAATGGGGTATGACCACATCCTCTGACTGGTAGTTCAAGTGATGATGGTATGTGTTCTACAATGTACTGGATCAAGTTCAATCTTCCATTACTACATGCACAGTGAATAGGAGCCATTCCTTTTTTATTCACAGCACACAGATCTAACTGATGATTCTCTACCAGATGTTTGATAAAGTGAGTGTGACCATTAAATGATGAAAAGTGAGTAACATTCGAACCTTCGTTATCTGTTAGGCTCAGACTACACTTGTAATCCTTCACGTATAATTCCAGTAGTAAAATATCACCAAATACAGCAGCATAATGAATTGGTAGCTTACCATTACTGTCAGCTTGATGAGGATCTAACTGATAGGTAGTTATCAATTCTTTAACGAGAGATAAGTTAAGAGACATTGAGGCATAATGTAAAGCAGTGAGGCCATTCTTATCAACTGCAGTAGGAGACAAACCTTGTTCAGTAATAAGATGTACTAACGTGCGTCCTTCATTATCTGTTTTATTAATATCACAATGCTGTACCTCAATGAGATATTGAGGGATATCAATATGACCATTACGACAAGAATGATGAAGACATGTCATACCATCATTGTCAGTGATATTAGGATCACTGTTATGATTATTAATAAGATATTTAACAGAATTAACACTGCCTGACCGACAGGAGTAGACTAATGGTGTACAGCCATAGGTATCAGTATCATTAGCATTGAGATTATACTGAGATATGATATAACTTAGTACACTAGTAGAACCTGACAAGGCAGCATAATGTACTGGAGACAATTTAGCTTTATCTAATGTACACCTGATATTATATTCTTCTAATGCTTTCACTAGTAATGTACTGCCACTCCATGATGCTAAATGAAGTAATGACTTACCATCATTTGTAGTGGCATTGATGTCAAAGTTAGGCCAAGTGCTAGCTTTATTGAGAAGTGAAGAAAACATTTTAACTCTTTCATTCCGTTTGATAAAATCAATATTTGGTTTTATTCTAGTATTATTGATAATACCAATACTTGATGTATCACTCTGTGCAATAAGCTTACTATACACAATACCAGCTGGAATAAGTGTAGTTGCATTGCATGCATAATGTAAACATGACTTGCCATTATCATTAACTAATAATGCTTCATTACCTTGAATACTAACGATATACTCAACAACTGATGATGAAGCAAACCATGAAGCAAAATGAAGTGGAGTTGTACCATATTGAGCCTTTACATCAATGGATAATTGATATTGATTTAAGAAGTAATTATGAAGCTCAACGTTATTACTCATAGATGAGTAATGCAATATGCCAGATCCATAAAAATCAGAGGAATTTGGTGAGAAGGGGTTCAGTGATTCAAGCTTGTGGACTAATGCTAACTCTCCACTTTGACAAGCTAACAATGATAAAGAAGCACCTTCACAATTAATCTGAGAAGTATTACAATTTCTCTCAATAAAAAATTCCACTAGGTCAGAATGGCCCCCCATTGCTGAGTACAGTAATGCAGTGTTATTGCTATTGTCTGGTTGATCAGGAGGAACGTGACATGTGTCTACTAGATACTGTACTATAAATAAGTGGCCTTTATAAGATGCCATATGTATACTAGATACACTATTATCATCACCTTCATTAGGATCAATACCATATTGATGGATGAGTAGTTGAAGGATCTCAATGTGTCCACCATATGATGCAGAGTGTAATGGAGTCCAACCATGAAGACCACGATGATATGTGCTGTAACCAAACTTGTCAAGAAGCCATTGTACTTCATCTTTTAATCCTCTCCAAGCTGCTTCATGTAGTGGTGTACTGGTATTCTCATACCATAATGGATCACATATATCTATAAATGAAGAATAATGTTGTGATACGAGTTATGTATGGAAGGAGTGATTGAAGGTTAGCTCATGTACTTACCAATATCAGTGGATGAATGCTTATCCTCTTCTATTGAGAACTGTAAAATTAAAAATAATATTAAAATTTGTATTTTCATGACATAACAAACCTCTCTTAGATCATATTTATCTTCACCACATGTTAGTTCAGTGATGCCAATACTAGCTAACTGTTGCTGTAGCTTTGTAGTTAGAGGAAATAATGAAGAGCAAAAATATTCAGAAACAACGTAACCCAAAAAAAGAGAGCCAATGTGAATAAAACAGAAGTAAAGATCATACTCAGGAATATCTAAACCTTTTGGTATTGCTCTACGAAAAAAGAATATGTCATCCAGTGTGTAGTCAGAACGATCTACTTTGGCAATCGTTACTCGTGTACCAGGAGGAACACCTTTTACACCAAACTGCACAGCATAGGTTATGAATATCATTATTATCCTCCTAATGCCATGGAGGATGCTGCTACATCAATTGAAGTAGTGGATGGAAAAGCATCATTTTCTATTCTTGTAGTTGCAAGCAATATCTCCTCCTCCTCTACTGCAGCTACTGGGTCTACTGTGATTAACTCTTCTACTGCAAATATTGAGCCTAGTATGATCATCTATCCTACTACTGTGACAAACTCCCCTACTGATCCTAATGAAGAGCTTCATGTACTTCAATACTGGATTGAACCAGTAAAAGAAACTAATGCTGCTGCACCATCAAAGCTGTGCTGCTCTTGAACTTATTTGAACACTATTGTGTCTAAACCTATGTATTGTCTGTGGTTGTAACTATATTTTTGATAATAAAATTATCTTTCTCCTAACTTTTGTTCTACCATGCTTGTTTTAAATTACATGTTACAAACAGATACATATCACTGCTACTCTACATACCAACACCTGTATCAACAAGTTTTACCATAGATATTAGAGTATAAAATAGATATTAGAGTATAATAGACATTTTACTAAAATGTCTCTTGTTTTACAACAAAGTAGCAAGCATAGAACTCCCGATAAAAGGAGTGGGAGCAGGAGTAGGCGGAGTAGGAGTTTGCTAAATAAAAGTAGGAGGAGTAGGTGTTTGCTAGGCCTATAGGGTGGAGTCATAGATATTAGAGTAAATCATAGATATTAGAGTAAATGAAAGGGATTGGAAACTTCCGTTCGCGGCAGGAAATGCTAGTTACCCATACAATGATAATTTCTCTATTTATAGGAATTTTTTCAATTTTACAATAGGATTTATTAAGAAAATTATCAAACATTATGGAATAGTACAACTTCATAATGGTTTTTCTCAAATTGTGTTTATGTCACATACATTAAAGTATGTGCGTGCCCTCAAGTGTACATCAAGCTTTGCTTTCATATCACATTAAAATGTGCCAATCATTGAGCTGTAAAGAAAAAGGTACAAAACGAAGGTCTTCGCAAAAACTTTGAATTGATTATAAATCAGTCACCAAATCTGTCATCGGAGCCATTTATGTTGCATGCCCTCCATAATAATGTATAGAATAGTTGGTAATAGTTAATTCTGGTATTGCTTCTTTTGTATTCTAAAAAAGGGTACAAAACCACAATATTGAAGGTATCAAGTCACTAAATCAAACTTTACCCATAGTTATCAATATTATTTTACTTCAAAAATTAGACAGACTGTAAGGGAGGTATCTGTAATGCCTTTAATTATCATTTCAGAGGACGAACACAAGTCACTTTAGAGTTATGAGTTGAAATAGGACGCCGAACAGTGAAGGAAAAGGCCCGGGAAGGGTAACTTGCCTATGTTGCTAGGCCTATGTTGCTAGGCAACCTAATAATCTTAATGGAATAATCCGCCCACGCAACGGAAGTTTCCTATCCCTTTCATTTACTCTACTATCTATGAGTAAATGAAAGGGATTGGAAACGGGGCATAGCAACAGGAAATGCTAGTTGGGTTACCACGTGACAACCATCAGTGTTTTGCCATCTCCTCCGTTGGTGAAGTTGCTCTGGAAGGATTTTGAAGGAAACTTGTGTTGCTCCAGGATAGCGCTTGCTTATAATTTATAGCCTATTGCACAAAGAATTTTTACAGCTACCTACAGCAAGTTTTTTGTCTCTGTAAAGCTATGTTGCAATCAGTTATAGGTACAACAAAATCCGTCTATTTTCGGTACACTTTAGCTCTTGTAACAAACTCATACTTCATAGATTCTAACTCTAACCTGTGTAATTACTTTGGAAAGTGTAAGGCCTTTCATATGATTATAATGGTTTCCAGTTTTACTTTAGCATGTTTTGAGAAAAGGGAGAATAATGAAATAAATGGCATTTTAAGAGTAAAAATGGGCTGTCATCAGCATCTTTCAATAGTCCACCACTGTTTATAAAATAGTCCTTTAACTTCTCTTCATATTCTGACCAAGTTCTCTTTAACGAACAATTTTCTGGTAGACATACTGCAACAAGTTTCATCATAAGTTTATAGTTGAACCAGGATATGTATTTGTCTTGTAGTACAGTGAATAATTTTGGTACTGTTTCTATGTGTTCAAACTCTTCTCTAACTGCTTGAGCTGTTGTTTGCTGTCCCTTTTTAGGACCAAATAATGACTTTACATGTGTTTGGAGGTAGTCAATAATTTCAGGTAAATCCCTTGATTTGAATGATTTCTTTGTTAGTCGAATCGCTTCATCAAATTCTTCCTGTAAATCATGCAGCTTGCTTGCTAAATGGAAACTCTTTTCAGAAGAACCATATCCATCAGTACCTAAAAATAAATTTTTTGTCACTGGGTAGCTATTACATCATTCTTTTGGCATGCAATGTAAGTGAACACTAATTTGAACGTTAATCTACTAATTCACATTTGAGTACTTAAAGTTTAAATTGGAAAATAGTTTATGGGCTAATTTTGATAACTTCATATGTTTATTATGTTGCAAATTTAAAAGATAAAAAGTAATAATTGTACAAAGGACAAAAAAATTGGAATAGAAAAATTTTATCACAGTGACTCACAGTTATGACTGATAATAAAGCAAAAATTATTAATTATTATGTTGAATTATTTGATTTTCCACATAATTGGCATATTGTGGAATGCTTGTACAACAAGTCTATAATAGCTATTAGAATCTCATTACTCATGATATGATTGATTACAACAGAATTAACAAATAGCATTAAAAATATCCTAAGGACATATTTTGTGCAAATGCGTCAAAGTTTAAATTCGCAAATTTCTGTCAAAACCACAAAATATAGAGTAACTCGGGGGGCTATTTTGACCCATTTCTGAACTATGATCTAATTAAATATTCACAAAGTTATAACTCACTCTTCTTTGCTTTATTTCATTTATTTTATTTATCAATAAGTTTTATTTTGTCTATTCTATTTATACTTCATTGACATCAGCAAAATTCCACTTGAAGTGTGAATAAAAACAGTACTTTTCATTGACCTAGCTGTTATAGGGCTATTCTGACCCTCCAGATACTAACTAGTATACGAAAAAATTGAGCAGTGACCTGGTCTAAAAGAATTTTCAAAATTAAAGCATATCAAAAGCATTGATGTGCATTCATTGTGTTAGTGTGGTTTCAAATTAATGTGCATCAATGCCCATTATTTCAGCTGTATCACAAGGTGCATCAAAGCGCTTTAAAAACTGTGCCACGTGATTATGTGTAAAGCTAATGAACACAAATTTTAACCAGAGTTGCTATCCACACTTTATAAATATCAAGCCGTTATGTAGTGCTGGTAGTTAGAGAATTCTGTGCTAAATAGACATGTCTTTGTTTCAGTCCTGTACCTGCTATAGTAAAGAAATTACAATAGGAGAAAAAATACTGTCCAATTGGGGCTATTGTGACCATTGCACATGGATTTTGCATTCGTTTATACGGAGGGACAAAACAGCCCTAACTTACTCTAAAGCAATTTTTTTAATAATTTGATTATTCTCTGTAAAATGTGCTATTATTTACATCTTGAATTATTTGATTTTCCACTTCCAGATGACATTGCAGCATCAAAAGGAGAGATATCTCTTCTATTGGCTGGTAGTGGGAGTAAAATGTCATTATCATTTGAGTTGTATCTTCCTACAAAAATACTCAATATCATTCCTAATCCAATTAATATACCTAATGAACCAGGTGACATTCCTTCATTATGAGTAACATTAATAGAGACTCCCACAGTAGCTGGTAAAGGATGTTCATGAGCTATTTCATCAGCTAATGCTGGATCACCTCCTCCTTCTTTAACAGCTACACACACTCTCCTCCAACAAGGAATACCATAACGCTCATAATCATAATCCTTCTTCAACCAATGCTCAATAACTTTTTGCAGGCAAGATACTGCATTTCCATGAGAGGTAGCTTCTATGATATTAATGTCAGTTATTCTCAAACGTAATGAAATGGCGAATGACTTCCAACTAGCAGAAATAGACTTCACTTTATCATAGACTGAGTGATACTCATCAACACCTGAAATATACTTTATTAAATGTCAAATATACCCACAAACTCACTTAGTTCTTTATCACAAACGTTTATGAAAGAAGGAGAAGATGAAGAGCTTGTAGCCATAGCTGGGTTGAGAGGAATTTATACACCCACACAAAAGACAAAACCACCAGGACCACCCATGCTAAAATACATCATTCACCAAGTCTATTCAGCTATTAGAGCCAATGACAGCAACCAACTACTGTACAGCAGTTACACCAGTAAAAACTATAATTTTAATAAGAAAATTGATATTAGTGAAGATCAGTTGGGCCAAGGGCACAATATTCAGTGTCAATTAAGTTCTCTGATCTTAAAAAATATTCAATGCACAATGCTAATAAGTTAGAAACTTCTAGTAATCAATAAAATAATTTTAATTTGTAGGCTTTCTGGTAGTCTACTTCCATCAGAAGCTACTCAGCTACTAAAAATCCAAAATTCATTTTTGAGTCACCTTGACTAGTTTTTATACTGACATGATTATTTTCATTATTATTGTTTCTTCTTTTTACTTTTAATTTTGTATTTTTTAACTTTAGTAAAATTATTAATGCTAGCTTGCTATATATGCATGTAGTCATTACACTATTAAATAATAACTATTTCATAATTCTTGACACTGCTCTTGCTAACAATTACGTATGCTATACCAATAATTGTCACCTCATTACATTAAATATAAACTGCAGAATTAGTTGCATGCAGTCTGTACACGTGCTGACTCAATGTAAAACAATTACACAAACAAACTCTTTTATTACTTAACAGACTAGCTCACACATTACTATTAAACAGTAATTGAACATAATAAAAATAAATGTTAATAAATCAGTTTGCCTATCATAATACACACCAGTAACTTGTTACAAGTGTCTAGAGCTACATTTCCTCTACATAATTGCTAGGAAACAATCCTTCCTTGCGTCCAATTTTACCAGTCCACCATCCAGAAGGATCTGAAATAATTAATAAATGAGAAAAAGTAGTTTTATGGCAGTATTAATTGTCATAAACAGTAATAGCAATGCATTCCCCACAATTTCAGCTTCTTTGAATTTTAAAAGTTGCTCAAAAATCAGGTGAAAAGGCCTGTACTATAGTACAGTGACTATGGCCAAATTTCACCAAAAATGGCTATGACAAAAATTCTTAATTTTTATGATTTTTCTGATACATGATTATACATGTTCTTATGACACACAAAGTTTGAGCTAATTCAAATCAAAATTGAATCTTTTTATGAATTTTTAGCCAAAAACAGCTAGGAGAAAATTCTCCATTTTAATAATGTTTTCTGTGTAGTACAGCCATTTACCTTTCTTTACAAGTTCAATAGTGTCTCCTTCTTTAAATGTTAGTTCATCAGTATCATTAGCATCATAATCATATATTGCCTTACACTGAGGGAGCATCTTTGGCTTAGCAGCAATAGG